CGTGGCGCTTCTCAGGAGTTTCGATCTTTACTACCGCAGGCTGGCGCAAAGTTTCGATATACCAGTTTTCATTTTGAAACGCGCCCAGGAATTTAGCATAATCAGCGGCGTCTCTCTCGCTCGCCACTGTCTCACTGTCCTCATGTTCGTAAGCAAGCAAGGTTTCACTTATCTTCAATTCTCCAGCTGGTCTCTAAGGAAGTGGCGTAGCACCGTTTAACAGAAACTTATGGATGAACAGACAGTTTTAAAGCAATAAATATGTTAATTAGGTAAAATCCTACAATTATATACTAGTACATAACAGTGAGTGGCAACGACAAAGACGCTTTCTATGACTGCTTCCAGTCGGCTGTTAGCGCTTTGCCGTGTCATGATATTATAATTTCCACAGACGACCACAGTGTAAAGGTGGGCACCGAGTATACCACATGGCCAGGCTCACTGAGTCGTTACGGTATTGACAGCATGAATGACAATGGCAGGCGTCTCTTAAGCTTTGCGCCATGAACTCATCGGTGAGACCCCTCTTCTTCGTAAGCGTATTCAATAAACCACTTGTCCCAACAAGTCCCAGTCAGAAGCCTAAACGCCCAGCCGGACCACGTACTCAGTTCGTTACCAATGTCACACGTTGCGGTTGCATTGGTTCTAACTACCAGATGGCTGTAGCAAAACTTCATCGCCCGGTTGAAACATAAGCTGCTCGACAGGCTAAAATATTTTAATGTAATCGTTAGTGCTCATTCGCGAACTGGTAATGTAGATTAAGGTCGCAAAGACTTCAGGCGATTAACGTAATTGAGGTCAGGAAGAGAACAGCGAAATTGCACTGGGTTACTGAATAAGCCCTGGTCCTCAGGGTACACAAGAATCAGACAGCGAAGGAGTACTTACAACACCCTACTGTTAGACTTGTGAATATAGACGATTTTCACAATATTTTATGATTTCATCGTGGTTACTGCGCGAGGTCGCCAGTCTATGCACAGTCACTTGATCGGATGTGCCAGTCTATACAACTGCAGGTAGTCACCTGTATGAATTACTTGATTTGATTGCTCACATTATACATCGCTCGAAAGCTATCTGTGAGCAGAATACGAAACTTTTGTCTTAAATATCAATTTAAAAGTTTAAATGTTCGTCTGACTATTTCATTGTGACGATTTCGCAGGCTCATTAAATCAGCGCACGTCGTGTTAACACTGCCATTCGCAAGGTAAAATTTATGACTTAGCGACCTCTCGCAGCTATTATGATGCAATCACACAATAAAATAAAAATCATCGATATTTACAGTCCGACAACAGCATCGCATCGTACTCACAGAGAGCTTTTCGGTGAACAGGCAAGATGAAAGGTAAAGTAAAAATATTTGAAAGATATGGCCTTCTGCCAATGTTATAAATTCAAACTCACGACCATAAGACAGAACGCTGACTTGGTGACCATGCACAGTAATTGAAGTGTAATTGTAATAAGAAATTCACCAGTTAGACAACGGCCTTAGGTTCCTATCGATATATGACATTATGTACCAAATCACGCAGTTGATGCAGCTGACCACTGTCCAGTTATACAGATTCAAAACATTAATAACAACCAGTGGTTAGCGTCCAAACAGCGTGCGTCAGACTATTCCATTCCGGCTGGACCCTATCCACAGCTGGCTCATCACCTTGAAATGCAATATGGCTGCGGAATCTAGCTTTGGATTCAACTATGGTTGAGCATTCCCTGAATCTTAAGTAAACTGTTTTATTAATTGAAAGAAAAAATGTATTGAAATAAATTAATGTTTGTAAATTTTAATCGAAAACCAGTGCCTATTTCCCGCTGAAAATTATATAACCTAATTAATTATATACTACTATAAACTACCAACTTTAACAACAGATATATATCACTTCCAAGATAGTTCGTAAAGGATTTATTCCACATGATTACAGTTTTTGAAATTGTCCTCGAGTCCATCTTTAGGGTCTTTTAACGTAAACATGCAATTAACAATATATAGGGAACCAGTCATATAAACAACTATAAAACCATAAATGGTTAAAAAGGCAGCATGTATGGCTAATCGCATTTTGAAGGCAACAATAGTTATATTGAAGAAGGGGTAAGGATGGATATTGGAACTTGGTGAGGTGGTTTGGCATTCAGCATTACATACGCCATTATTTCATACGCTAGAAGCATGGGACGCAGCGATTACTTCGAGCGGATACGAATAAATGACATGCATAGAATGACAGCTCTGCTTCCACATTTCTCGTTTTTTCGAACCTGCCCCTGTCATTATATTTAGCAGGCAACAAGATTTGAGGTACTGGCATCCAAACGCAAGAATGTGTGTTAAAAGGAATGTTTGCAACCGTTGAAATGCCGGTCTTCCTTACACTTACATGGTGGAGCCTATTCTCGCATCCTTAGTTTCATGAAAGGGGAGGAAACACTTCAAGGCCCTACCCTATAAAGACTGGAGCTCTGGTCTCAATTTCTGTCATCAGTCGGGAGTACCATATTTTTTAAAGGCAGAATCAAAGCAGCCATGTGACAAGCACAGACTGTATTCTGTTTACCGCCCAGTCAT